TTTGTATCCTGCTGTAACTTTACTGTATAAAGAGCTAACATCTCCAAAATGTCAGGAGTAGTTAGTCATTACAACAAGTGTTTGTGAACTACAAATCAAGAATGTGGGATACTGTTTGTCCGTGATTTGGAGAGCCCAGCGCTGCTCCCGATGAAGGGAAAACCAATTCTGCAGGGGAGACCTACCTCAGCACTTGTGCAGGTGAAACCAAAGGGCAGATATGCTTCACCATATTTTCTAGTCTTTGGCTTAGAATGAAGTTGGTTTGGAAACATATTCAGCAATGCTTCATCTCCTGCTTTGCGTTTGTGTGGGCGCCCCGTGTTAGCAGTGTCCAAGCGTTGTTGTTGTTTTCTTTTTCATGCTGCGCCCCCCCTGCAATGGCTCTGCACCCCCCCTAGGGGGCGGGCCCCACACTTTGGGAAGGTCTGGTTTAGCTGGTATTTATTTTTCAAATCTTATTTTCTTCTAACTTTGAAAAGAATCCATCATGCAGACTGGATTTCTACCTATGTGAGCCTTTGTTTTACCAGGGGAGCACGTCTCACAGCTGTATTAAGTTTCAGACTTTTGAATTCTTAAATATTTTCTTTTCAAAGTAGGATAAATGTTGTTGCTTTTTTGGTATAGAACTCAAATGGATCCAGTGTTGTTGAAACGTTACTTTCAAGCACAGGAATACTTGGAAAGTAAGAGTTTGCGCACATCTTTGAGAATTTCCCTCTGTTCTTTTATGAATTCAGGTTCTCAGTGTCTCTTGTCTCTTTCTGCAATCCCAGACTGGCTCCATGATGTTGACATCAGAGCTCTGTGGGGATCATAGCATCTGTAGCAGGACTCCTTGTTCTTCACTTTTTATAACTGTGGCTGTATGTTTGGGCTCATTGTCCCACGGTAAAAGGAATTTGGGACAATCAGAGTCCCTCCTGATGGTAGTGCATGACGACTACAAGTCTAAAAAATGCCTGGCATGGTATTGTACATTAAGATGCTGAATACACAAGGTTACATTAGGTGTCACACTCCCAGAGGAAGCACAAAGTGTAGTATTAAACCTAAGATAATAGATAATCATCTTATTTTTGGACTGTGATGTAAGTATGTTGGACTGTGGGACATAGAGAGGTGCATGGTAAAATGATTCATATTTAATGAAAGCAGACACTTGTTTTGGAAGGTGATCAGAGATCCCATTTGTTTAGAGATAAGAGTGATTCCACCACTTTATTTTCCATTTAAAATTAAAATGGTGTCACAAGGCCCCACAAAGAAACATGGGATGGATTTAACCAATGTATTGTAGTTAATCGTCCAGTGTTTGAAATAATACCACACTGCCATGTAGGGTTTTTTAAAAAAAAATCTTTTTTTAGAAACTGGTTACCTTCGAACTAAAGTCACCTACATTTTCGTATCATCACTTCAGTCCTCATTGCTGCTGATCCCAACCCTAACCCTAACTCTAACTAGTGATGTTCCCGGCAACTGTTCCTGGACAGTTTAATAGACAGTGATAAAAATTGTCTATTGTTTTTCTTCATTAATGAATCATACTTGAAATGCTGCTGTTTGGTATGTTGCATTATGCATTATAAACATTGCACATTATACGTGCAAAAAGGAAGAAGAAGAGTCTGTCCAGAGTGTCCTGGGTTTACCCTGGGGTCTCTTCCTGGTAGGACATGCCCGATCGGAACACCTTACCCAGTAGGCAACCACTTGAACTGGTTCCTTTCAATGTGGAGGTATAAGGGCTCTACCCTAAGCCCCCCACCAACTGACTGAACTCCTCACTGTCTTTTCTGTCCGTTGTATCCACAATCACATTCTTTAATGTTGTTAAATGTAGTTGTTTAAAACAACTAACAATAATAATAACAATAATGAAAACATAGCTTAAAGATTTATGGCCTTTCTCATAAACAATGCTCCTTCTGGTGGCAGATGGCTCCATAACATTTAAGACACAGCAATTTACCGACACTGGGCATCAATCAAAATGTTAAACGACTACCACGTCTGGTACCGACTAGTGCCAGTAGCAACAATTAGTCAACTAATCGTGTACATCCCTAATGAATACATTATTTTTATTTTCATAAAATTTTTCTGTCAAGTCTTGGTATTCAGGGAGCAAAGAATAACTATTCTAAATGACACACTCGAAGAAAGACATCCGCTTTGCCTTTCTCCAAAATACAGAATTAGGATAAGGTTATTGCTGATAATGATTTCAAGCTTTTCAATCTAGGCTTTCCAAACAGGAGAAAATTCTATATAAAGAGGTTAAAAAGGGATGGCCATTAATCTGACTCTGACCCTAGATGGGTTGCCTTTGACTGGGTGGATCAAACAGGTTAATTGTTTGCTTGGTGTGATGGATTGCTTTTTGAACATGGAGATGGATGGAAACGTCTATATATTTGATAAAAGCAGCTGCATATTTTCGAAGATGCGTGGAAGGTCACACATGTCCTCGTTGTCCATTTAATATAAACTGCTGTCAGGAAATGCATTCATCCAGCACTACTGCATACACTTAGAAATGCATTCCCAGTAATGTCCATGAAGACTAAATATCTTTTTTTTTAAAAAACCTTTAAGTCTTTTGTGTTTCACTGATGGTATATTTAGCCAGGACGAGCTGACCTCCAGTCCCAGTGGAAATGCTGGCATTTTAACATAGCACAATGGAAAGCCCTTGAATTTGCATTCATTTTAGTGAGCCATAAAAGCAACACAGATTCAGAGCTGGCTCGGGGACTGTCCGGCAGTGAAATGCCCATAAATAGTGATGATTAACTGCATCTGTGTGTAAATGAGCCAGCCAGTGACACTCTGGCTCATTTTCAAATAGTGGGTTTCACCTTTTCACCATGCAGAGAGGAAACCTGCAAAAACATTTAACGCTGAGACTTACACATACATTTTTCAGAGTACAATGGAGGCTGTGTCACAAACACCTCTCTTCCTGGTGCCCTTCACAGGCTGCTGTGGGGTTACTACATTACAAGGTCTTTCCATTGACTCTCCATTGCAAGGTAATGTAGAAGTGTGTGGCCTCATTGTCTGGTGGGATCAGCAAGGATGTTTTTTGGCCAATGAAACAGGAGACTATTGATCCAGAGATCACTCGATTACCTTGACGAACAGTCAGAACATAAGAATAATGTTCGCAGGCAGGCCAAACATTCCAGAAAGATTCATAAATTAGCCTCCAGTTTCATCACAGCTTTAATTAAGCAAATCTGTGCCAGTATACCATTTGTTAGCAATGTCAAGAACCTGTTTTTCATTTGTGGAAAAATGCTTAGTTGAATTATTTAAAGAAGTGTGTTTGTGGAACACAAAAGCATAAATCGCAGTCATGCCAATACACAGAAACTTAGAATGACGCACACATAATAAGCACTTATTTGGTGGCAGGAGGTGCAGAGTTATGGTTAGAGATGCTAACGACTTGCTCGCTGATGTACTGTATTAGCTAACTCTTAAAGAGCATTATTTTCTGCAATATTGTTTTTGTTAAGTATCACATAAACCACTAATTGATTGCCTGTTGAACCAAGTTTGAGATATGTAACATCAGAAAATACTGAAATATTCAAATTTTCTAAGCCTGAGGTCGCATCGTCAGTTTGCTTATATTTACTGCTGCAAATGCTAAAGATATTTGAAAATCAGTGCAGTTAATATTGTGCAAATGTTTGGGCTGTTTCAGAAAATGGGCTGAACATTGCCACTTTCTTAAAAACACACAACTGCTGTGGCACCAGATATTTACAGACGAGGACTGTTGTTGTTTATTGGTTTGATTTTACCCACCAGGTGGCGCCAAAATAGTAAGATTATCTGTAAGGTTTCGATCGTACTTCCAAGTTTGACATTTCTTTTTCTTTGCACTTCTCTTCTCTGCCTTCTGCGCGCTCTAAAGTAACAGCATGTATCCTTTTCCGTTCTTCACTTAGCTCTTTCTCTCTCCTTGAAGTCGATGCCCTCTGTATCCAGTTGATTCATAATATCAGATCACATTTCCTCTGGCCTTTTGTCTAATGGGCTTTTTGCAGATCTGCTGATTGGGATGGCAAGTGAAATATTTGTGTGTGGACAAGAGAAGTCAAGGTTACCCTTTGATACGCCATCTGATTCCAAATAGCTATATTTTCTCCACATTTATCTGATGAAGACAATGTACCTTTCAGATATGCGTACACAGCTGCAGCTATGCTCTTTAGCTGTTGCCTTCCCCAAAGTGTCCCCTTGTAGCAGTACTGTTTGACTAAGCAGAAACAGCTTGACTAGTACAATGATTGATATCTGATACTTTGTGTCTTACTGAATGCTTTCCGAGAACTATTTCTCTCCAAGAGGTAAGATCGTCTGTCTTAAGTGGACTGAACCTGAGCTGCCTTTTTGTTTTGTTTTGGTTTTTTTGTTTTTTCTCATCCTGTATTTTTCTGCTTGATCGTTCCTGCCTATGTTTGTGCATGTGTTGCTGCAGTGGTGTTATTTTGTTGTTGTATTGTTTTATGTATTATTCTGTGATATCAGTGGATCTACTACGCTTTGCCACCTAGATCCCCCCCATGTAAATGCATTGTCATGAAAAACCTTTGAATCGTGGTGTTAAAATGCAAAGCTGCAGAGCGCGTCATAAGAACGTGACATGTTTGAAGAAACACTCTACAAAAGATGAATTTGGTTAGAAAAGTTTGCCCAGTAGTTTGGAAGGGGAAAAAAATAAAAGAACTTTTTAAAACACCAATCAGAAGTGTTCGTTTCAGTGGAATATTTCTTTGTTTTCTCTCAAGATCCAAGTTAGTGCATCCCAGAGTAAAAAATCCCACCAGTATTGCCTAAGACTTGAAAGGCCTGCAGCTTTGCAGCATGCTCTTTTAAAAGCAGACATGTTCTTTTTTTTGAAGTCCTACTGTGTATTCACCTACCCCTCTCTCTCTCCCTTTCTGCTCTTTCCCTCTCCATTTTTCTTTTGTGAACAGTTGATCAAAGTATGTTTGAGAACTCCATTGCGCAGCAGCAGAGTCCCCAGACCTCGAGGCCGGGGCCGTCCTCGACCCGGCGCGCCGCGGCGACGACTAATTCCAACCCGGGGTCCAGCTGCGTGGACTCGCCCTCCTCTGGAGGACAGCAGAGGCTGAAAAATGCCATTAACCTGGGCAAGGCAGTCGGGGCAAAGGTTAGTGCGACACAAGCAGAAACGGGACATTGAGCTCAGCAGGTCCTGTATTCTTTTACCCTTTGAAATAAGCTCATATAGTGTGACTTATTGAAAGGAACGCAGGTTTAAGCTCTTTTTATTCTTTCAGCTGAGCCGATAAACATTTGTATCAAAACTACCTGCAAAGGTTAAACCTTTCTCTCCTTCTCGTCTCTCCTTCTTTCAGGTCAATGACTTGCTAAGAAGAAAAGAGCCCAGCAACCTCGGAGACATTGGGGTCACGGAGGTCAACAAGAATGTTGGTGCAGTTTGGAGCTGCATGGAGCAACTCAGTCAGACTGCTGCCAGCAGGTATGCACCCTCATATTCACACACACATTCATACATCATCTTAATACTGAGCAAACTGCTCCCCCCAAATAATTAACAGGCTTCTACGTCAAAAGATTTTAGGACGAATATGTGAAACTCGGAGCCCTTTCCACACGTATAATTAATTAATAAACCCAGTGAAAGACATTATCTTAATTTATTCAAAAATATTCCATTACCTATACTGAGCAGAGGACGTATCTATCACTGCAGAATTGGGTTGTGGGTCAGAAAAGGTGAATAATTTACGATTTTTCCTGTGAAATGTGGCTTTAAATTAATGATGATACATCAGAGGTGCCTGGGAGATGCCTGGAATTGAATAAGCCAGTTTTTCACTTTGAAGTTTTCAGTTTTAGGGGGTTTATTTTATTTTTTGTTTTTTGAATATGTCGATTTGACTTGTTTATGTACTCTCATAAACGTACTTTGAAGGATTTTTCGTCTGTTCTCCTAAAGATTGGCTGAGTAAAAGTCATTTTTCAGCCGCTCAGGTTCCATTTATCTCCATTCGCTGCACCCAGAACAGATTTAGCTTCATTTAGCAGCGATCTAAAGATTGTTCTGGACCACCAGCTGGTTCGGCAGACTTATAGCTGACTCACTTCTCATTTTTGAATGCATGAGATGAGGTGCGCAGGACCTTCCCCTGTTCCCCAGACAATGCAAGTCCTGCAAAGCCTCTGACCTCCTTAACAAGGTTTATGTTTTTTTCTTGGGTTTTTGATGTTAATGATGCTGTTTTTGTGACAAAACGGTGCATTTTCTGAGGACAGGCAGCACAGCAGTGCTTATTGACTGCCTCCGCCTGTCAGCTGCAGTGAAAGGTCACACAACAGTAATAATTTGTGATCGCCTTGGCCTCTAGCTACAGGATTACGTGCTGACGTCGCTGGAACAGCTTAAGAATTTAGAGTGTTTTTTGTAAACACGCTCACTGAACTCAGCGAGGAGCTCCGAACACGAGCGAACGTAGGTTTAAGCTCTTGTTGCTTCTCTCCAGCCGCCTTCCTCCTCCATCACTCAGCTTGTTCTTATTAGTAGGCAAGAGCAGCTTTGAAGTTTGAGTCATCCTGCCAGGTTTCATTCTTCTATTAGTGACGCTGAAGCGGCATGCAAACTTTGGATGGCCTTTGTTCGACAAAGTTTCATTCAGTTAAAATATGAAACAATTGGTGCTTCTTTGATGCAACAAACGGCCCCTGACAGGATTCTATTATTCTGCACAGCGGGGCCATCAGCCAATTAGCTGTCAATTTTTCTTGACATGTTTAGTCATAGTCCCGCCCACAGTTTTAATGTGTACCGACTGCAAAATCTGAAGTTCATTTTGTCCTGCTGCGTTTTTTCTTTGCCTGAATAGTTTGTGCCTATTGTAAATGCAGCATTACATATGGGTTATTTATGGGTTGCTTCCTTAGTTATTACAAACCCTAGCTTCAGTGTTTGTGCCTGTATGTAGGCTCTGTGACAGGTCATCTGCTTTTATCTGCATCCAAATGCCGTTCTAGAATGTTTTACACAACGTAACGTTGTTATGAAGGAGGAAACTATCCATCAGAGCCTAAATTGTGTTTGTAAAGCAACAGACAGTACCCGAGAGAGGTGAAGAACAGTGCAGGCAGGGTGGAGTGGGTGGAGACAAATGTCAGGGGCAATTTGTGACAGATGGATAGTGGTGAGAGTGAAAGGGAAGGTTTACATGATGGTAGTAGACCTGCTACAGTATGATTTATGGTTTATAGAGGGTGGCACTGAAAGAGAGACTGAATCTGGAGGTGGAGGTGGCAGAGTTGAAGATTTCTGTTGGGAGAGAACAGCGGTATGAAGACAAAGTCGGAGAGGCAAGACTTAGATTGTTTGGACAAAGGATGTTGAAGATGAAGCTGCCAGGAAGGAGGAAAAGAGGAAGAGCGCAGGGAAGATTCATGGATGTAGTGAAGGAAGAAATGCAGAGGGATAGATGCTGGGAATAGGCTGAGAAGCAGGTTGATGATCTGCCATGGCGACCACCAAGGGGAGTCATGAGGCTGTAAACATGCTGTTTAAGCTTGAACAGCTCTGGTCAATTCAAGCAGCTAAACTTCATCAGCATAAAATATGTTTAGGAATCGATTTCTTCTTTGTGGCAGCATGTGGCATAAGTTTCAACTGTAGTCACCACTTAAACGTTCTCTGTCTGTCTTTCGTTGCCTCCCTTAATCTCCATTTTCCCTTTTCTCCCCCTTACCTTTATTCCTCTCTTCTATTCCAGCCACATCACCTCCTTTGACTCCTTCCCTCGGCTGGACCCTCCACCCCCATCGGGGAAGAAGCGCCTCCCTCGAGCACTGAAGACGACCCAGGACATGATGATCTCCTCTGACCCCGTGGTCTCCTCCCCCGACCCTGTGGATTCTTCCTCCTTCCCTTCCTCCCCTGTGAAGACATCCCCCATCACTCAGGAGGAGATAAGGAATGAGGAGGAGCAGCAACAGGGAAAGGAGGAGGAAAAGAGGTCATCGGGCCCAGCAGAGAGGAAACCCGGAGCTGATTCTGAGACAGCTGAGATCAATGACAACGTGGATACAGTGATAGGTGGAGAAGAGGATGGCGTAGAAGTGGGAAGCTCTGATGAAGGCATGGATGAACACGGGCTCCAGCTCCAGCTCTCTGTACCAGACCTCATCAATAAAGATCCCCCTCTGGAGTCCAAAGCCAAACAATACGACGTCTGGCAGAAGGCGCCGGCGCCGGACTCGCGGCTGGCTTCCACTCCCTGCTCGGGCAAAACTCCCTGCCGCATCAGCCTGGGCGAGGATGTCCTGCTGGGGAATGGCGCCCCCTGTAGCAAAGCCACTGGAGGGAGCACTGAAGACATGGAGCACCATCCAGACCTGCTGTCGTTTGACTAACACACAGAGCTGCAGCCAAATAACCAGTTCAGTAGATTTCAAAAAGCATTTGAAGTTTTTCTCTTAGTGTCCATCCCAGAATTGTGTGTGGAGGTAATTCAAACAGACTGCAGCGAGTACTGCAAATCAAAAATTCACTGCCACTTTTCAATTTTTCAACTCGATCTTTTCTGGGCTTTACTTTAGGAAAAGGGAACACATACTTCCAGAACCGAGGGCTCTTTATCTTTTTTTAATCTGATTTCCGGATGTGGGATTAGCTGAAAGGTCACGGTAATTACGCCTTGCTTTCTAACACGGCTGATCTGAGGTCAGCTGGGCGCTTCAAGAATCTTCTTAATGAATGAAAACAAAAACTGACCAGCATGAGACAATGAATGAGCAGCAACAGAGGAAATAAGCGGGACTCTTTTTTTGTGCAGTTTTTTAATGCTTCTGATTTATTCACTGTGTATTTCTTATGTATATCAGGTGTCTAACATATCATGTCTTCCTCAGTAAAGATGATGTAACAATGAATGTTTTAAGTGAGATGAAATATCCTTTAAATGGGCTAAAATGTTACAGGCAGTTATTGGCAAGTGTAACCACAAACATTAAATTTTATATTATTTTATCAGTATTAAGATATAACACTATTGTATTTAGCACCACGATATTTTCGCTCTATTTAAAGGGACATTTCATTGCATTTTTGGTATAAATCCTACAAACGCTGCTGCAGCTCAAAGTTATCCAGCAATATAATGTACATTTAGACTCATTTAACATAAAACTCAAGTGTTAGGAGTTAGGCGCAGGCTCGGGAAAAGAAGACGGAAGTGAGGGGTGGAGAGGCGGAAAGGATGTGAATGTGTAAGATGGAAAAGGTTAGCGAGGAATTTGCTTTCAGTTCAGTCGATATGAAATGTCACGCAGCACTTTCTACTGCAGGAGGGCGAAGCCTTTTGACCCTCAGCTTCACCCTAAAGAAATGATCCCTCTTCCTTCTTGAGCCAACCTGGAAGAGAACTTTCTCCAAAATGGATTTTTGGAACACACTTAAACTTTTGTTTCAGTTATATTTATATAGCGCCAAATCACAACAACAGTCACCTCAATGCGCTTTTCCTTGTAAGGTGAAGACCCTACAATTATAGAGAGAAATCCCAACAATCAGACGACATCTGATGAGAAAGCACTTGAGTGAGAAGGAAAAACTCCCTTTTAACTGGAAGTAACCTCCGGCAGGACCAATGTCGGGGAGGAGCAGGGGGGGTGTCCAAACCTACATGGCCCTGTGTAAAAAAGCGTTCGCCCCCTAAACCTAATAACTGGTTGGGCCACCCTTAGCAACAACAATTGCAACAACTGCAATTAAGCGTTTGCAATAACTGGCAATGAGTCTTTTAAGGCTCTGTGGAGGAATTTTGAACCACTCATCTTTGCAGAATTGTTGTAACTCAGCAACTGTTTGTACCATAAAAATTTGATTGCCTGGAAGGCGAAGGAGCTGTGTGTTTGGATCCAGGCTCATAACTGAAACAGCAACATGATAAAGATTTCCAAAATCATCTTCCCGCTGTGGCTGAACTGAAAGCGAATTCCAGTGACCTCCACAAAATCCTGATGGAGAGTCGAAAGAGAGACGGGTGGAGGGACAGGCAGCTTTTGGAGGGAGGGCTGCTGGAAAGTTGTTTCTGAGCTGAGGAGGAGCGGGATAATTAGCTGTCAGCAGAAAGAGATGAAAGAGGTATGTTTTTATTCGAGCAGATCATTAATTGACAGACCAAAGACAGAAGAATTTGGCTCAGTCAGACATGCTGTTTTTTGTCACGTTATTTTAGTGAGAAAGCAGGAGCAAAACAATTTTTTTATCACTGTAAGAGTAGCACAACCAAGTTGCCATGGTTATTGTAGCACAAGCAAAGCTGTATTTTTCTAACACTACTGTGTGAGCATCTGTTCTGCAGATCTGTGCGAGTGGATCAAAGTGGACTTTTGAACTGTGGAAAGTGAACACAAAGATCCCAATGCCCAGACGCTGAAAAGAACCCATTTTCTGCGAGTGGCCTCAGTGAGTGACCTGCTGTCCTTGTAGGGATACACTGACTTTAGAAAATTTCAAAGAGCTCCCAGAGGACAGCGCGACAGAGGCACAGCCAGCGTTGGTCATCGTCAGGTCATGCCCGGCAGAATGAGAGGAATGTTGGAGATGAAGAGAAACAGATAAAGGAAGCTTTGTCTCGGTCTGTCTCTCTCTGACTTGGTCTTACTGCCATCTACCACCACAATAAAGCAGCTGATGTCTCCCATTAAAGAGTTATTTCACCCAAGTCACAAAACATAATTGTCCCATTAGCTTTAACAAGCAACCTGCAGGGTACTGTGGAGATTTTCTGCTGTTTTCAGCACCCAGAGCATTGCTCATGAAGTGAGAGTGGCAGATGTGACAGGTGGAAATGAAAAGTAGCTTTTTTATTTTTAAAAAAAAAAAAAAAAAAGAAAAGAAAAAGAAAATGTGTAAACTGACCCTTTTAGGTAGACGCAAGAGTGAAAAAGTATCATTTACTATTACAAAAAAACATAACTACTGACAAACACTGGTGTACAGCATGAGCAGGGAAAATATAGCCACCATTATTAAAATGGGATTCTTAAACCAAAGCAGTTTGTTATAGAGGATAGCTAAGGCTGATGATGTCAGATAGATGGTAGATAAGATGGTCATTTAAGTCCCACCCACCTACTGTATAAACTTACTGTTTGTGAGAGGCAACCAGTCAGAAGGAATGTGGCTTAAAGTGAGGGGAGGGCTTGTTTTTTAACAGTGTTTGGCCTGACGAGCTGCACCAGCATGAGGTAAATGAGGATTTTCTTGAACAGCAAATATTACAAAACCTCTGAAGTAGAGTCCAAGAATATAAATCTGTTGTATGAAACGTGAGCAGAAGCCCTGCCCACTTTAAATGGCTCAGAAAAACTGAAATCTGTCAAGTAACGACCAAAACTGATTTTTTTTTCATGTTTATGTAGAGCTCATCGGTCCCTAAACGAAACAAAAACCACCCTAAAATAAAAATTGTAACTTGTAGCCTGACGGTCGATGATAAGCCAAGTGTCTCTCAGCACGGAGATGAACCACTTATCAGAGAGGCTTTGATTTGATCTAACAAACACGCAGGAACGGATTGATAACAGCCACTCGGATTGAGTCAGAAGGTAAAAGCAATGCAACGCGATCATTAGTTCAGAGAATGCATCGAGCAGCTTTACGAGGACACAAACACTAAAAAGCTGAATTCTTTTATTTGCTGATGAAGGAGGAGCAGTGTACTTTTTATGGGAATGTTGTAAGGCTATTTTTTGAAAATTCTGTGAAAATGCTAATCACTTTGTTGCTCTAACAAATGAAGGAAAGAGATTTATTTTGATATACAGTCAGAGGCAATCGGCGTTATTTAGCTGCTGCAGAATTTGATAAATGGAGAGGAAGAAAATGACCACGCTTTGTCTGTGACGTCTTTGTCTGTGTCTTGCTTTTGTCTTTTCAACGCTGGTCGACATGATTTCAGCAGACATGATGAATGAAGGAAGCTGAGTGCTGCACGTGGAGGCTTTTTCAAAACAAGCCCGAAGAAGACTTGGACCTTTTAGCAATTCTGCTTTAACTGTTGCAAATTATGTGACTGTGTCTTTTTTTTTATAATGAAAAATCAAAATGATTCAATAATTTTTTTGCCTTTTATCCTCCTAATGTAGTTTTTTTTTTAAGTGGGGAAATAATTCCTCCAATGGCTGTAATCTTCTGAGAAAACAAATCTGAAAATAGACTTAATCATGAACCTCTTTTTGTCTTCTGTGTCTTTTTCAAAGCTTAACAAGACCTTTTCTTCATCATTTGTTCTGGGAATAGTCTGTGTTTTGTCTTTCCTTCGTCTCACGCCTGCCACTCAGAGCTCTCATCCTTATCAGTTTCATCAGTCAGCGTCGATGGGCCCCCGCGTGTCCTCACTCTGTTTGATGGATCATACGCTCGGAGAGGCGCGGCGGTGGCGGGGATTCTAGAGCGGAAACCGCTCTGATGTTTAATTCATCCGTGTTTGTCCTAATTCGTGAAACTCCTGGTCACTGGCCACCACTAGTGTAAACAACCGGTCGGCTCAGATGTGTGTGCAGGTCTTGTTGCTGTTTAATAATTCAGACGTGATGCACTTATTGATTTTCTACAAAAGAACCCAGACCTTCATGCATAATGAATCATCTAGGGCGCGAGATAGCTGGGTGCAGTTTCTCGACCCAACAAGTTTCTCTCTGCTCTGTCCCGCTGAGTTTCTCAGCTAGTTTTGTATAAGGAAGCGCCCCCAGCAGTATGAACGAAGGTCATGCTGCGGTTGTTCTCGAAAGATTAATTTTTATGTAGTTACTCAAACTGAGATTGAGCTGAGATACTTATATTTCACATATTGCAACTTGTAAGCAGTGTTGGGGAGTAACAGAATACATGTACGCTACGTATTTAAAATAGAAAATATGACATCTTAACACAGGCAGCTGTAGCTAATTTGTTTGGGTTTTTTTGGTGCAGCATGCTAAACAACCTTGCTAGCATTAGTTACTAACTGTCTTGTCCAGTTAAGATCACTTCTGGCTCTAGTATCAGCATAGCTGCATCCAGAAAGATAATGTTATGACTCCAAAACAACACAAAGTCTGAAACCGGTCTGTGATATCCCAGTGGCTATGGCAATCTTTTATATACTGTCTATGGTGTGGTCCACCTCATAGACACCTATATTGTGAGTTTAATGAGATGTGTAACAGATTTAAATCCTTGAACCCACACACATCAGTGCCGCAGTGTGCTCCAAAGCACAGGCTGGGCCTGACTGAGCCTTCATGAGTGCATCCACAGTATGTTCTTTCCATCACAGCCTTATTTGTATGAGCCGGTCTACAAGGCACGGAGAGATTTGAAAAGAAAATTAGGACAGACAGAACAAAGCTGCTGCTTCTACAAATGAGCTCCTCCGTGAATGCCTTTCAGAGCGTTGTGAAAGTGAATAGATGTTCACATTGATTATCAAAAATAAATCCCATAGTGAGCGTGAAGCCATAATAATGATATGTAATACAGGCTGTTCTATTATCTGATGAAAAGAGCAGTGTCTTCGCAGATGCTTCTTGCTGCTAGGACATAGAAAAGTTTGCTCACTGACTCCAGCCCTGTGATGAAGAGGTAAATGTCAAACTGACGAAAGGATGCACAGCTGTGCCACAATAACAGCCAAATTCTTTCTAAAAGTAGGCTAAGAGACATTTTTGTAAGGAGGAGTAGTCGTGTAAATCGTCCTGCCTTCTGACTATGAAGATGACCTTTTCCAGGATAGCTTTACTTTGTAGCCTGGGGGATTCCAGCTTCTTGAACAGAGGGTAGATATTAGTAAACTCATTATTAACAGTGCATTGAATGTCTATTGTATATTCTTAGTAACTATTACCTGTAGTTTTAAACAGGAGCTTTTCTAGGATTTTTCAAATAAGGTGGCACATGGGGGTCCAGAGCCAGTGATGGGGTGGCAGGGTGTCTTTGTATTGAGTTAACCTGCGCATGTCACAGTCCTGGGTCGGCGACCCAGTGTTTTGAGTTTTGTATCATTATTGAATTTTGATTTTGTCATAGTTTATCTTTTCTAGTCTTTTGGTTTCTGTTTCTGTGTTCTATGGTCAGCTGTATTCCCTAGTCAAGTCTGCGTCTGTTATGTTTCCTGTTTTACTTTGAAAGTCTGTGTCCCATGTCAATGTATTGAGTCTCGCTTCCCCTTGGTCTTGTCATGTCAGATTACTCCCAGCCGTGCTCTCCTCGTGTGTCTCATTTCCCTCGTTATCCCTCAGTGTATTTAAGCCCCGTGTTTCTTTTTGTCAGTGTCGCGTCGTCTGTGTTACATCCCTCGTGTCATGTCAGATTAAGGGGTTTCAGGATTGTTGTGCATTTCATGTTCCTGTAAGTGATTCATGTGTTTCATCATGCACTCTGCACAAGGTCCTGCTCATAGTCATTGCCAGTCTTCCTACTTTGTCATAGTTAAGTCACAGTTTTCTTAGTTTAGTTTTCCCAGTGTAGGTTCTAGTTTAGTTTCGCCACTGCCTTTGCTGCTTTATGTTGCCCCCTGTATCAGCCATAATAAAGGCTCGCCTTTTGTTAACGTTAGTTCTGTCTCCTCGCCTGTGTCCGCACCTGGATCCAACACACACACCTCCGCACGGTCTGCCTCCGCCAATCATGGCAGCGCAAAGGTAAGTAGTTAGGAAATGGTAAGCACTGAACCTGTGAGGCCACAGCAGGAGTTCATTCTTCTTGTTTTACAGTGGGAAAAAAAGGATGTAGCAAGCATTATGTCACCCGCTGATTTGTAAAGTCCTTTCACAAAGCCTTGATTTGAATATTTTTATGCCATCAAAGTCTTGGTGTTTTGAAATCAGCTGTGAGCAGGTGCTCAGAGTAGACAATCACTTCTGTAACTACCAGTCCATTTAGCCCATTCCCTGGTTTTCCATTATATCGACACTCAGACTGTATGATCTAAAAAAAAGTAAAGTACCCTTGCCCCTCTCTTAGTCAGGTAGCAGTAACTGAGTCAGTTAATTATGTAATAGTATATGATGTGACAGGTGTTTTAGTGCTACTTGGCTTTAAAGGCACAGTCAGTAATCTTTTAAAGATTACTTAATAGAAAACCAGAATGTTTTACTCGTAAATATACATTGATTAGTGCATAACAAATTGATGTTTTCTCATAAACTTAGAATTAATCCATTAAAAGTAAATGGGAGCAGGTATCAGTTTGTGGAAGCCACCACATTGCCCCAGCATCTTGAATACAGCAACTAAGATGGACTGAGATGGATGTTCTGCCTAAATGTGGATATGTATGTGGTTAGACAATGGCCACACACGTAGTATGACTTATATGTTACTTTTAATTTAAAGTTCACAAACTCTTTCAAACAATTTTTGATCATTTAACATTTGTAGCTGTATGACGCATCTTTCTGATTCTGTCTTTATCCCCCATCACCACTGCTCTCATTCCACCCTCATGTTCACCTCCTCACCTCAAGGCTTATCTCTTGAACTGAAGTCACGGCTCTAAAACATTTATCTATTTTCACAATTGCTAACATAATGTCAGCTAATGTTAGACTTAAAAAACAGACAGTTTCAGTAACGCCGGCTAACAGCTTGTGTATTTGTCCTTTAGGAGCCACCGTAGCTAGAGTCATGCACTTGAATTGGTTGACTGCAATTTGCAATCTACTGACATCTAGTGGTGAGATTTTGCAGACTGTACCTTTAAAAACATTGTACCAGTTTAGCATTTCAACCAAAGCTTGTCCCCTAAGAACGCCCTGATGAATATTAACTCTGGTGTTGTTATTAAGCCATTGATCTCTGACTTTCTTTATGCCTACAAACACA